TAGTGTAACATCGCAATTGCTAAATAAATTTGAATATAATTAATTAAATTAAAATACAAGGAGTGTTGTGGATGCTTTTTAGATGACATTGGGGAACGTACCTCGCCATTAAGTAAATGAAGGTAACGGTCAAAGTCATGAGCCCTGTCTTCTGGACCAAGTCGTTGTTCTTGTAGCATATTATAAATATCATTCTTATAATTGTCTACGATTTCACTAAGAATAACTGGCTAAAAATTTCTTGTGCTGTAGATAGACATAACAGAAAGAAAAATCGAGATTCCTACTGTGAGCCTTCCTGCAGGTCCTTCGTAATCCAAGTACAACAATGTTTCTAATCTGGGTACTACCATGACTGCAGCAATCATTGCATCAATGGGATTGATAATTTCGATGGAAAATTCCTCGAAAGATGGTTCAAAAATTAATTCCAGTTCGTTTCTCATTTCACTTATCGTTTCTTCATCTTCGACCTCTTCAGCCTTTTGTTCTTCTTCTTGTTTTTCCTCCTCTTCCGTATATTCACTTTCAGCAATTGTTTCTTCGCCTGCTTCTTCTTCTTCCTCTGTTGGAACGACAAGGACTTTCCTCTTCAGGAAGATTTTAAAACCGTTATTGGAATACTACAGCAAACAACAATAATATAACACAGAAACCGCAGATACTACGGGGTAAATTTCTTACTTTTATATCTGTAATGTACTGATGGTAATCATAAAGCGATTTTAAGCAAAGTGTCTGTAGCTGATACGTCATCAACGAAGCAACACAGTCATAAAATTTTTTCAACTGCTTCAAATTTCTTGAATCGACCAGTTGTTTTCTCCTATGAGCGAGAATGAATATGTCAACGACTGTCTTAAAATAATCTTCTAGCAGGATTGTGTTAGCTGTTTCTAATTGTTTCTGAACCATTTTCTGAAATTTCTTTAGGTAAAAGGACCCAATGTTGTTTTTAATTTCTGTCATATTTATAAGACGCACTTTTCTGAAAATAGAATGTTTCAAGGGGATAACTCATTCAGCAGGGATAATTTATCATTAAAAATTTCATGAAATGAAAACTTTTTATAAGGAAATCAGATGGTAGGGTTAAATAAAGAGCTAATTGTTACTTATATCACCATTATCATAAGGTCTTCAGTCCTAAGACTGGTTGGGCACGCACCTCCACTATTTCCTACCCTGAGCTAATCTTCGCATTTCGCTAACACTAGAATAACCCACGTCCTTAACTATTTGCGAACAGTAATCTAATCTAGACCTACTCCTCCGAACTCCTGTTTCTGCTTTTATATGTCTCTGACTAGAACTTCATGTTTGAGAAGGTGTCCTACAAATCTATCCTGTCTATTTTTTATTGGCTTCCATAGAGATCTCTGTTCTCCTATTCTTTCTAAACATAAACCTTTTACAAACTTTTTCGAATTTCTAGATTTATCGTTCGCGAGCATAGAAGTGACCTCTGCTTTATAACCCTACTACTCCTTCCGTCCTGATTTATCTGACATTTTACTATACTATTTCTTCCCTTGCATACCAGTATTTTTGTTTTACTGTTATTTATTTTCATACAGTACTGTTTTGTCAATACCGCTTCCATTTTATTTAAAGCTATCTTTAATTCCTCCTTGCTAGATGCTAATACTGCTACATCATCTGCAAATCTAAGCATACTAATCTTTTGCCCCTGTATATTTATCCTTACAATTGTACTGTCTTTAATGATGTTGACTGCGTCTTCGATAAATAAATGAAAAAGTAGCGGTGATAGTGTGCATCCCTGTCTGACTCCCTTTCTAATATTTACTTCTCTACGTTACAGCCCCAGCTCTATAACTGCCTGCTGCTCTTTATATATAAACTAAGTATCACTTTTCTATCTTTGTAACTCATCCCTACATTTTTAAGTATGTTTAACTTGTTGATAATTGATAGAGGTGTATTAAAATACCTGTAGTGCGTATACCATCGATTTAGCACGTTTACAGTTGCAGGATTAACGATGAACAACCAGCGCAACATTTTTGATTTACTAAATTCGATGCTGCTATGCCACTTTGGACATTCTTCAGCAACTTCTCGTCTCTCTGGTGAATCATACATTGTTATAAGGGGCTGGTTGCTATTAGGATCTTTGAGAGCGAAATCAATAATTGCTCGCTTATTTGATAGCATGAAATCCTTCTGCAATTCTTCTACCGTTTCATTCAAGACCGTACTCCATTTTTTTAATTTTTGAGGAATCAAAAATAAAATCTACAAAACCATTACAGAGATGAACAAATTTAAGGAATTGCTTATCTATATTTGCGATAATACTCTAAAAAACCTTTGGAATCTTTGCTGATTTTTTAAATTCAATTAAATCATAATCAAAACTAAATATTATAATATTTAAATAGTAAATTCATATGTATATTTTAATTCAGAGAAAATTATTATTGCGACAGAATTAAACAAATAATATATGTATTTTAAATCTGTAGTAAGGCTTTTAGAAAGTAGTAAAACGATATTTTATATTGCAGGGGTGGATAAGTAGGTTAAGAAAGAGACACAAATATAATAAAAAGCCGAATGATGTTAAAAAGGAGAACGATTACATAGCAAACTAAATAAAAATGAAAAAAAATAGAGCAACCATAAACTGTTTGGCAAGTTAAATTATTATCGCCCTAGTTTCTTTTTTATTTCTGTACTTTTGCCAAGTAATTTTAAGTTTGTTTGGCGTACTATGTTTATTACTTTTACTAACTCCAATTAACTATTTTGAAAAATATCTAGATAAAGTAATACATTTTTGTCAATTCACATAATTTACAGTCATTACGTATGCTTGACTGTTATTTAAGCGTATTGTCTATAGCATATATGCATCTTTATAAGAAAATATTTAATAAACCTGTCTCAAAACTGCATCATCAAGGGGAGATACATGAATAGTATCGACACCGTAATTAATATAGTAACAATATCTAAGCAAATCTTTTTCATTTGTTATTGGAACATCATCTAAGTCAACGTCCATTTGATCGGCATCGCTTGTCATTAGTTCAACTATCCGTTTGTGAAATGTTTCCTTTTCCTTTCGCATTTGCGAATAGGAAGGCTTCTTTTGTACGCGGCGTTTCTTTTTCTTTTCCTTCTCTAATGGCGATTTGCTAAATTCCTCTGGTAATTTAAACAAATCTTCACTTCTTTGACCGTAATCATAAGGTGTTATGAGCCGTGGTACTTTTACTTTCGTGTCTCTGTTATCTATGAACGCTCGTTTCTCCAAAATGTTATTTATAAGTCTTTGTCTTTCTTTTTTGTGCTTTGATGATTGCGACATGTTTCTAAAATGACCGAAATTTAACGCGGAGCGTGCAATAATAATTGTAAATTAAAGTGCACCTTACCTGGATAATTATAATAATTACAGAAGTAAAATGTAATTTCTGAAAATATGGTACAATTAAAGCTTATGTCCTATAAGCATTAATTAACATTTTTATCAAGAAAATACAAGTATTTCTGACATTATCACTTTGTTTACCTCTACTATAGAAACGAATTGGAATTATGTCAATAACAGGAATTCATGGCAACCATAATGCGTATTGGGTTTTTATATAATACGCTTAAAAAATAATTAACAGTGATATTTCAGCTAATATTAATTTCCTTGACGAGAGTAGATTTAATTAACTACATTTGAAACAATGCAAATAAAGTAATGAGATTGTATTGATTTTATTCTTAAAAAGATTGAATTTTATATTATTCAGTCAGCATCATCATCCTTATGAAGTCTTTAGTTTCAAGACTATATGGACGCATGGACCGTATGCCTACTCGGAGAAAACTAAATTTTTACCACAACGCAAAGATTACAATTTTCGATTGTATATGACTATATTTGCCGTAGAAATAGTAAAATTTTCAAGTTTCTTAATTGTTGCAATTTAAGTTGTAATATCAACTAAAATAACTANCCAAATTGTAATTTTTATTATTTTCGCTTACGAAGCAACGGGCTAGTGGGATGAATTGTAAATATCGCTTTAATATTTAGGTAAATTTTTCTTTTTTAATTTATTTTTACTAGGGATATTTGTAAACTATAAACCTATAATTTATGTTTTGAACTTTTTACACTTTTTAACTTTTCATATTCTTCATATGTTGTTAAGAATCATTTGAGGATATGTTTCAATATCGGAAAACAATAAAACGTAACGTATTGATAATTTTTATTATGCAAGTACTTTGCAGAGTATTATTACAGTGCATGCTGGAACCTTTACAACACATTTTTATTGCGACAGTTGACAAAGCATAGCAACTCCACGTAAAATCCAATGTTCCGGGGGTTTTTCTGTGGGCATACGAATAGGGATAACAAAATTTGTCGAATGACCTGTGGTCGAAAGGACTCCTCTTCGTTCTGACGTTTTATACACCGGACAGTCGTATGTCTTTCGGATAACCAGCTCGGACCTTTCGATTGGTATAAATAAGAGCTAAAACAAATGTGCATATCAATTCTTTCATTTAAATGGATGGAATTGTACATAATGCTGTAAATGGTAAAATAAATTAATTGTTTACGAAAACAGGACCAAATGTTATGCAAAAGGATTTAGTAAATGACCTACAATTGGAACAGTGTCGTATAAAACTTTGGGGTAGGATTCTTCTAGTCTCATGGTATTCATACCCCATCTGGCTCCTTCTAAAAATAATCCATAAACGTAAACACCATCTACGGGTGGTTGCGTAAAGGTAGGAGCTTTCATAACCTGTGAAAATAAAAGATAAGGACGAAGGTCCTGCTTTATACTACATCCCTTAGGACAGATATATGTTTAATTATTATTGGTTTGCTGTAATTTTAAAAAGATTGAGTACCTCGTAGTCAAATGTCAATAAGTCTATTGCAATTGTATATTTCCTTGCAAAGTTTTGTTGCGCTCCAGTTAAAAAAGCTTGAGTGAAAAAGAATCCTGATAGCCAAAATGTAGGGGGTGGTCCTTCATCGAACCATTTCTATAAATCGAAAAGTTAATTCGAGGAAATAAGTATATAAAGACATGGGTACATAAACATATTTAATACTAATTAGTTGTAAATTACTTGTAAAAATGCCAGCCTTGCTAAAAAATCGTTTACATAACTCCCTAACGGTTTCATCGAAGGATATGAAGTTTTTGCCCACTTTCCTGGAATTTTTCCCCTCAGCATGCTCACCAAAACTTCCTCTAGGTCTACAGACATGACGATTAACCCTGATAAAAGAAAAATAAAAACCACTTGTTTATTTTATGTTTATTTATCCTTGCTGTCATTTTTAGGCGATTTACCAAAGAAGAAACAAATAAGTGATTATAAGTATATAACTCCCCAGTTATGAATGACAGGTTTTAAGTTATTATTTACGAAGGATATATAATATCGAAGATACATAATATAAGAGAAACAAATAAAGTAATGTGGAAGTAAAACTCACTAAATGCCAAAATTCCAGATACAAAGTTTTAGATATTTTTTGGGCATTATCCTCAGTTAAAATCTTTTTTGTTACCTAGTATTTTATTCTATCTCTGTAAGTATAAAAAGAAGTTGGTCCTGAGGGACTGACTGAGGAGCAATGCACAGCCAAAACCATTGGGTCAATTTAGATGAATGAAACATATTCTGACTATTGCAGGGGCGGATTTTGCGAAATTCGTATTGTAAAGGTTGCAAAACAGAACAAAATTAAAAATGAGGTCCTATAGAGATTATTTGAAAGACGTATGTCTGATTCTCATGATAATTACCTATAGTTTGCGAAATATAAGCGATATTAAATATTTATCACATTTTCATCATTTGTGTCTTAGTGGCTACGGAGTAAATAAATAAAATATACTTAATTAAAGCTATTTTCTATTATTTATTATTAAATATTTGACAAATTATTGTCATCATACCTTTAATAGCTTTCTTAATGTTTATCAGACTATCCCTGACGGTGCTAAGTAATCGATTGAATCTGTGCATTTCTTGCACAAGTACCGTGTTCATGCTTTGATGGTAGATCGTGGGATATTTTCTCATTGCCTCATCAATATCGAAGTTTTTGGGTAGTTTTGCCAATATGTCGGTAGATACATCATAAATAACGTCTTCCGGAGATTTAGCTGCACTTTCAGATGAAGTTGAATCCTAGTAGTTTAAAATATAAAATATGAATTTTAGAATGTCTTGTATCTTTGGGCAATATACTATCTCAGGATTGGTCCTGATTATTTCGGAAAAAGTTTTAGGCAATCACTTAGTGACTTCGAATATGATCTTGAGTTTAATCTTCAAGAACACTTATAATTCGAATCATATTTTTGGTCTCAACAATGCGAACGGTAGGAAATTTGATAATTGGAAATCTGTAGTTAATTTGCCCATGAATATATCGATTGAAAAACTAAGAGTAAATCGATTTCAAATGGTATCTCCTATTATAAAATCTCCTGTATTTTCTGTTGTTGCTAAAAAGTGTATTGCCACTAAAAAATTG